GTCGGCCTTGTTTTCTAGGAAATTTATGAAATTGGATTACGAATACTATTTTTCCCTTGACTTCATATTTTAATATTTTTTATCAGATTTAAGTTTTCTGGAGAGAAAAGGTGAAATTATGTGTGTGTTTTTTTTTCTGGAATTTTCATGGATCGCTCTCGTAATACCACCGTTTTTATTTTCACTTACCAACTAAGCGATATTTCTTCGGTTTTTTTGGTAGCTAGTTGCTAGGTTTGGGCAGCGATTCTTATTTGTCCTTGATTTATGACCCTGAATCCCTCGTCCAATCGAAAAATTACGTTGCAAAGGAAAATTTCCATTTCTGGAGCCCCTAGTAAATGCTTATTTTACAGTTTCGATTTTGCAAGTATTTCAGTAGCTCCGTAACAAAGTTTTTTGACAAATGATGAGAAAATAACAAAAAGAACGAGGAGCGCCCATGCAGACGACTGGGATCTCACATCTTGTTGATATTATTGGGATCATCATTGTACGTTGGGTGCAGTTGTGCTGTCTCTTTCGATCCTGGGCTGTGTACCTCTAGTTATGCTTTTCGTCTTTCCACTCAGCAGAACTTGCCCGAGAGTCGTGTACTTTCTGAAGGTACCATTCTAACACAAAAATTTATTAAATCGCAGGTTCATAATAGTTTCAGGGAGCAAGTCTGCCTTATAGCTGATCCTATTATTGCCGGTTTTTCATTTTTGATCGATCAATGATGGCTTTTAGCGATTTGAGTTTGGGCTCGTCCGCTGAAGACGATCGCGGTTTGGGCCTCTGGGAGGATCCGTTCGCCGACTTGCATATGCGCATGCAAAATGAAATGGCACGATTCCAGCAGATCGCTCGAAATATGTTCAATCTGCAACAGCATGACCAACGCACCATCATGCCAATGATTGCCGTGAACAGACCCGAAGGGCATGAACAAACCGCTCTGCAAGGTATCGTCGTTTTTTTTTCTCGTTAGTTCGGGCTAGGGGGGGAGGGTTTCCTGGGCGTGGCGTCTCTCATAACGGTGTTGCCACGCATTTCATATGTTGTAATTTGTTTTACTGCATTTAATTAAAATTAAAATTTTGCGTTTGTTCTGAATTCGACTGTTGTTCAGGACCTGGCGTTGGTAATCAGGATAAGAGTGGCGAGCGCATCATCAAGGCACAGCCAGTAGACGTAAAAAGCAAGGCGGAGCCACTGCTGGGGCACCAGGGTGAAAATCCGACCGTCGTCGAAGTTTCGGTAAATTCTTGCCCACATTGGTGCTGTTTATGGTTCACTGGTGCAGCACTGGTTGTTGTGAGCAGATTTTAAAACGAGTGGTCTTTTTTTTCCAGGAACCGTCGCTTCTTTCTCGGCTGGCTTCCCGTGCTCGGCGTCTTTCGCTGTTGAGTCAATGGCTTGTCTGTGTGGCACTTTTCCTTTGTCTCGTCTCAATGCTCTCAATCTCAATTGCAATTCTGAAGCAGATCAAGGCACAGCGATATCACAATCTCCGAGTAAGAAAAACTTATTTCATCAAAACTTTTATGCGTTTCTCATTAGCGTAAGCAGTAGCTGTTTACTTAGGCTAGCCAGTGTTTGTTGTTTTTTTTTCTTTTATTGATTGTACACCCTGCAGCTATTGAATTTACCTGTGATGTTCGCTCGCAGCTTTTTACGAAAACTTATTTCCAGTGGTTCATTTCTAGCAATTTTCCCTGCTCATAGCGATTTAGCCTGAAATCAAATAATCTACTTTGTTTGCATCACGAAGGACGTGCGCCAGCCGCATTTTTGCACAGTTACGTCAGGCTCTCCATCGAGAACTGGACGCAGCTGTGTACGCTGTTTTGTAACCAGAAAGCAGTTACCGTATTAAAATTATACACTCACATAAGTGTAATTTATTATCCGACCCTGCGGGTGAGACAAGCAGTCCCTCTACGATTCGTTCATTCGTTTAATGTGCTGGGAAGTCTAACCACCCGCCAGCTTACTTCTAAACATCCAGTGAAAGAGGGAGCTTTCGACAGTCTTGCTAGCGTTGATTGTTGTTGGCATTTGTTGCTACTTATGCAGCTTCTCAGATGCTTTCGCTTCTCATAGAGTGCAAACACGGAGGGAGTTTTGATTTTTTTTAATTTTGATTTTTATTGCAGAATGCGCATATAATCGTTCCGCCGACTTTCGCAGAACCCCTTCCGGCGAA